ATCCCAAGCAAGGCAGTTGCGCCACTAAAATACAACTGTGTGTGGAATAATTAAAAAACAGAAACATTACTCTGGAGCGAGAACAATAGAAGAGTTATCAGGGAGAGAGTAGATAACGATTAACATAGCATTTAAACTTTTAAAGATTAAAGTTCACTGGAAATCTTAGAGGCCAAAGAGAGTTCTACTTCTAATTGAGAAGTGCGTGAAAAGAAACTGTTAGCATAGAACTTACGGTTACATCTCGCAAACACAACTGTAAATTGATGAAATCTCGTCGGAAATCTAGTACTGTGTTTAAATTCATCAAATCTAGCTATCATAGTAAAAAGTTCATATGAATAGTTACCATGAAAGTATTTACAAAAATGACACAGGGAGGCAACTTTACGGTGGTAGAAAAGTGACTGAAGCCGAAAAGCCAGATCAGGATCAATAATATTGCTGATTCTACCTTGGATTTTATCAAGGATCTATAGATATATAGCAGGGGAATCATACGATATGTAGCAGAAATTCTAAGCATGGATAGGTTCTGGAGAAAAAAAATGTCTAGCATGACATAGTGAACCAACTTCCTTAACAGCTGAGCTAACAATGGATTCAATATAGTATTTTCACCTGTTAGTCGAGAACATTAGTTCGAGAAGGTGCAATGAGTCACTCTCTTGGAGGTTAGTATCAGCCATACTGATAGCAGCCGTAAAGGGGTCTCTAAGATAATTGATAGGGAGCAGTTTAGTTTTGGAGACGTTAGAATTAAGCAGTCCCTTGCCCCACTTAAATACAGAGCGAAGGTCATTTTGGACATAATCCGCCAATTTGACCTCATCGGACTGATCAGAGTTACTATCGAGGCAACTAGTTGAGAACTGATGCCATCGGTAAGTCGTTAATATAAATTAAAAACAAAATAGGATACAGTCCTTGGAGACACTTGCATTAGTACAAAAAGAGTTAGAAGAGTGCCCGTTCAGGATAACATTCATTTCATGATTTGATAAATAAAAAGAAACTGAATCAGTTCAACTTATTTATTCACCCTTGCTTTAAATACTGATGCGACATTTGGTCCTCCTGCTATATATATAGAGAGAGATTCTTAATTAAATCAAAGGAATGTGCTATATTATTGATCTTGAGCTGGAATTTCGGCTTCAGTTACTTATTCACAGCTGTAATGTAGCTTTTTATACCTTTTCTATAAATCTAAAATCACGGTAATTGTCCTGATGAATTTTTCTTTATCGTACCTAGACTTTATGAATTTAAGCACAGATTGGCGGCAAAGTCTCATCATTATACTGTTCAAATGGGTAGAGGTAACCGTAAGTTCTTTGCTAACAGTTTATTCTTTCGCACTTCTCGCTTGTGAAACTCTCTTCTGGCTTCCCAGTGAACATTGACCTTCAAAAAATTAAATTTAATGTCAATCATTATCTTCTATCTTCTTAATCCCTGTTCTTCTATTGTTTTTTTTCCTTAATAGTATTTTCTCATATTCTCTAACACTCAGTAACACTTGCATCTTAGTGGCTTTATTGCCTTACTTATGGTGAAATGATTAAAAATGTAATTTGCTTATGTGTAGGCACACTTATCGTAGGATATATATATATATATATATATATATATATATATATATATATATATATATATATATGGTAGAAAAATCGTGTGAAGACATTTTTAGTTTTAAGCATTAAAACCAAAAATATGTTTATATAAACTTCATTGAAGACAATGCTATGAGTTCTTTTGTTTGGAAACAAAATGTACTGTAAAATTGATTTGTATTTATATCAACATACTTAGTTAACTATTAAGGACACGGAAGCTGGCTATCGCCTATTAAGAAAACATCAATTTTGAAATATTATGAACAATATTTCTCATCGCATAAGATTATTTAAAAGCATCTGTTCAAATGGTTTTGAGCGCTTATCGAAAAAAAGAGCAGTTCACTCTTGTTAAGAATACATGCATATAGGAACACAAATATTAATGTTATTGATTTTAACTCCCTTGCTTTTGCCAAAAATTGTCAAACATTTTTTAAATTTTTCTCCAATTGATATTTCGAATAACTAATATAAATGAAGCCTGAGCCAGTATTGTAAAACCGGTTATTATCCAATTTTAAAAATATTTTCTGGTATTTCATTTTCTTATTTCTGCTAATCTACCAATCTATTCATTTTTTATTGTTTTCTTTCCTCTTTCCATCTCCCGTTCTACTTCATCCCTGATAATTGTCACTTGCATACATCACACTCTTCTGTAAATCCTGCCAAAATGAACGAATTACTAATAGCAGAAAAATAAAAGATTTTATCTTATTACAAATGCATGAATTGTTGTCAAATTCACTATAAATGAACCCCGTAAAGAGTTGTATAGGATACAAACGTCACACTATCGTTTCCTCGACCAATGATATTGGCAAACTTCGAAACGAGAATGTGTAATTTTAATATTTATACCTTCACTTACAGGTTAGGATTGACTATTTTTTAGAGATCGCCTTCTTTCTGCAATCAGTCAGAATAAAGCCCGCATCTTCCATCTGGAATTCATGTTAATATTGTTTCAGATATAATTGTTACTAGTAATTTCTCTTGTGGCTGCTTGGTCAAATAGATTTTTCTTCGGTGCTTTATTTTTAGCTAAAAAAATGAAAAATCTGGAAAGTGTCATCCTTTTATGAGTGAAACCTGACTACCAAGAAGGGTGCTTAGGAACAAACACATATATGAGAGAGCGACGAAATGTTCTCGGTTTGACATACTTCCCAGTGTCTGGGCGTTATTTTGTTACTCTGCCTGTGTCACTAAACAAATATATCTAGAGTTCAGACTAAATAAGTCACTAAAAATGTGAGATTTTGTTTCACGCCTTTACCAAAAAAGGTATCGGTTATGTTAAATAATTATCAGATTAAAAAACTACCTGATCTTCAACGTTGTCTAACAATGAAATTTTTCGGTTAACTTTCCTTCAGCTTGCTTAATGCTTCACCGCGCATATGAGCCTCAACGGACAGTGAAGCCCGTTCGAGGAGACACTGCGAAGAGCATTTGCAGTTAAAACACAGTCTCTTGCAACCTTTGTACCGACGGCAGATAATAGAAAGGCCACAACAGAACCAATGTTTAACCCTGCTAATCAAATAAACAAATTTTATCGAAACTCATAATTTTTAATATAGTGAGAGTAATTGTGTTCTCTAACATAAATATATTTTAGATCTGTTAAAACTGGAGTTCGTTCTTCCAAAAAGATGACTTCTGGTTGGAAGCAACCAGCCTCGTTACCATTACAGATGTTTGTTCACATAATATTGCCAATTTCTGTTTTCTCTTGGCGTGTGATACACACCTGAATGATCGTGTGAGTATTTGCATAGTCATAATTCAATGCATTAAATCTTAAAATTACTTTTTTTTGAGGAGCGGTGTTTCATTTGTGTCTAATGAAGTGTATAAACACTGTCTACCTTTTCTACTCCTGTGACTCGGAAGAAACAAAGAATTGGTAATGTATTAGGCATTCGAAAGACTGACCAAGAAGCCATTACAAAAATACCTGGATACGTGCAAACACATTACAGAATATTTTATTCTGGTCTTATCTTGTTTTTTTTTTGTGGCGCAAATTTAAGTACATAGATTCAACATTTTCTTTATGGTACAGAAATTATATTGATTTTTGTATTTAAGATTTTTCTTATCTGTAGAAAAGAATTCATTATCATTCTTTGAAAAAAATTGTATATCATTTAAATAAGGTACATGTCACACATGGATGCTAATACAGTGAAAAGCCTGTTAAATTCGCTAATCATTCATAATGAGTTTGGTTGTCAATTTTAGTTCGATAATTACGATATTATGCTGGTTATTATCAGTAAATTAAAATGATGTAAATAACAAAAAGAAGAATAGAAAAATCTAGTTTGTTTAGAATGCACTGGAACTAAAATGTCTTTTTATTCCTGCTTTGGATACAAGCAAAATTTGAACCACTTGGCGAAGAGTATAAGAAATTTACATTTAATCGGTTAATGGTTTTGTTTTATTTATTGTAAAAATAATCAAATTTCATTAATGTCATAATTTAACGTGAAGTGTTCCTTTGTCGTTTTAACAAAAATGTTCATGCAAAACCATAAAAAATACAGAACATTAAAGATTTTTCATGCTTGTCTGTAGAACTAGCAATCTTGTCAATGTAACGTGCCATTTCAAAACACAAATTAGTTAACTTTTTCGTTTGGTTCTTGAGATGAGGGCATTCCACTGTCCTTTGATACGAACTATTCACATCTTTCATTGGATGTTATTATACAATCACCAATCACTTTATTAGGCATACTCTTCTCGTACCGGGTTGAAATTTCTTTTTTCCTTCAGAAACGCATCAATTCTTTCTTCTTGGCATAGATTCGACGATGTTCTAGACACAATGTTTCAAAATTTCGTTCCATGCTGTTATCATGGCATCCCAGAATTCTTCCAGATTGGTCAGCTGCACACCCAGGATTCAAATCTCGCTTGCAAAGGTTCTTTATGCTACTGGAATGCAGAGGCTAGTTTAATACAAAAAACTCATTACTGAATTCCATGAACCAATCTATAAGTATTTTTTTTAAATTTAGGACACAACACAAAGCGCCCTTCAAAGAAATGGCTGCATCATAGATCACACATCAATTTAATTGGCTGATTCGAATTCTACGGTTTATCAAGCCTTTGCAGGTAATTTATAGCCAGAAAGTATTTTAGATTGCAAGAATTTTTTGGGGATCATTATTATATTATTTTTTCAGATCATTATCAAGTCTTACTAATTAACCCATAACTGGGGAAGACGAAATAAATTACTACCAAGGGTATCTGCTCGTAAATGAATATTATGAATCTAGCGGGAATTTTGACTCGGCTCTCCGATTTCCAATTCCGAGCCATTATCCATTAAACCACCCGCACATCCAAAGATAAAGCACCTGGTATTCTCAAGTGGTCACTCATCTAGGTATAGATCAAGCTTTAGGTTGCTAACCTTCGGTGATCGTATGGGAACCGGTATTTCAACGCTATATGACCGTAAATTTAATCTTAATTAAAGCCACGTGGTCAGTCTTAATACATACGTAGGCTGCCATGAAACGATGAAAAGGATCCAAATTTTTGCCAAGAATATATTCCCCATAAAATTACACCACCAACAGGAGCTTGAACCATTGATACAAGGCAGGATAGACGCTTACGCTAAATTCTGGCTCAAGCATCCGAATGTTGCAGCTGAAATTTTACAATGTATGTGATCTTTAGTTAAATATAATCTCAGTTACAGGAGAGGCACTCGGCGTGGTGTTCTATTGCTGTAGCCAATCTTCTTTTATAGATGTTCTACTTTATATCTTCGTTGTATAAAGTGGTATTTGAGCTACTGTTGTTTTCTAATCATTTTCAACCATTACAGGCCATTCTTCCTCTTTCAACAACAGTTTATGTCTATACATAGTAAACATATTGGTAATACCGTGCTTAAATGTTGTCAGGTTTCCTCATTTATAATAAAAAGGACAAAGTGTAATATAATTTTTATTTTATTTTCATCTATATATTAAAAAAATATATTTTCGATTAACAATAACCCATAAATGAATAAATTATTATTATACATAACATAATATGGGCTCTTCAGTGTCCTAAAACCTATATTAATTTTTCATCCATTAATATTGCTAAAATTTCTTTTTTACTTAATCATTTCACAGCTAGAAAGGCAGTAAAGCTATTCAGACACAAAAATTACTGAGTATAAACGAATAAGAAAAAGAAAGAAAAAACATTATTAAGGTGAGAGAGAGAGATCAATAAAAGAAGCGGGGCAAAAAAAGACAGTAGATGACGATTGACACTGCATTTGCATTTTTGAAGATCAAAGTTGTGTGGAAAGCATGGAGCCTGAAGAGAATTCCACAAGCAAGAAGTGCAAGAGAAGAAACTGTTAGCATAGAACATGCGGTTACATCTATCTTTTCCAAATGTAAATTGAGGAAACCTTGCCACTAATCTAGTACCATAAAGGAAAGTTCATCAGAACAATTAACATGATACTATTTATATTAAAGGTACAGTGAAGCTACATTATGGTGATGGGAGAGTGGCTGAAGCCGAGATGGCAGGTCAGGACCAATAACATTGCGGATTCTTATTTGGAATTTATCAATAATATATAGCAGGAACACCGGATCATATGTAGCAGTAATCTTTCAAACATGGAAGAATTATATGTAAGACAGATTCTGGAGATAAAAAAAATTCTAGATGACATAGGGAACCAACTTTTTTAGCAGGAGGCCTAGCAAATGATTCAATATGAATACAAGGATGTTAACCTGAGAAAGTCAAACGAGTTAGACTTCAGGAGGTTAGCGGCAGCCATGTTGATAGAAAGCAGAAAGGGGCCTCTCAGATGATTAATAGAGAGAAGCTATCATTTTGGAGGCGTTAAAATTAACAAGCCATTCCTTGCTCCATTTAACAGCAGATTGTAGATCAGCTGCCAATTTGACCTTATCTAACCGATAAGACTTAGTATTGAGACAGGAATAAATAGTTGTCATCAGCATAGATAGTGATTTGAAAATGGATGAAAATTAGGAAATATTTAGGTTCGCTGATAGAGCCCTGGTTGATACCTACATTAATAAAAAAGATCTAGAAGAATGGCCGTTCACGACAACTTGCATTTCGCAATTTGATAAGAAAAATTGAATCAGTTCAAAACTTCACCCAGAAATATCAGAACCTATCAATTTGTGAATAAGACCTATTGAATACTCTCGAGATGTCCAAAGCAACAGCCCGAGGTTCACCATTCTTATCTAAAGCTTTAATCGTTAAGACATCAGCAGTTGACCTTGACAAGCGAAAGTCATATTTCTTTTCTGAATGAAGATGTGAGATGCTTATTCAATGTAGAGTTGATTAGGGCCTCTAGCAGTTTACCAGAAATCGGTATATGGCTAATAGGCTGTTAGAAGGATTAGACAATTCATCCTAGTTCTTAAAGACTGGAACTACAGAAGAGGATACCAACAAGTAAAAAAGCAAGAGGCAGCCAGGAATTTATTGTAGAGTTTAGAGAGAACAGAAGCTAATTAAGGAGTGCATTTTTTAAGCAATTTTACAGGGATAGCATCAGGTTGACATGTTTCATGATCCCAGATTAGAGATGTTAGCAGAAAACATGAAAGTAGTTATATGCATATCACTCAACAGGGACTCAGTTCTAATTGAAAAGTCAGGCAAGAATACTCCATTTGAGCGGAGGTTAGAGTCTGCAGAAAATGTACCAGCCAAATATTCTGCTTTATCAGCAGAAAATGTTATCACCTTCTCTTTCGACTTTATTAATATTACTTACAACAGTTTTATTGATTAACATATAAACAAGTCGGATTCCGTTCCTTTAATACGTGACCGATGAACCTTATAAGATTTGACATTGTGTTTACTCCACGAATTAGAAGACGATAAAATATTCAAGATGAGAGGTTTTCTTTAATTTTCAAATTTCTCTTACCTATTCCTGTCAATAGGTCAATAATAATCTATTATATTTATGGCAGAGATTACAAATCGAGGAAACACATGTTTATGACATTGTAAAACAAATGACTCAATCTATGATACAAAACAGCCTTAGTTTACCAATAATACAGAGTCCACGTCACATACACATATCCTTTTCGAGTTTAAGCATTTATTTACTTTACTAACTTTTATCTAATTCCAGTGTAAAACCTACTTTGAATGGGTGTTAGGAAATATTTATTCTGATCGGAAAAAAACTTTTAAACTCTATGATTTATTCAGTTTTAGGGAAAAGACAGAAAGAGTGATCGAAATCAGTTTTTGATTCACGAGCTATCACTTTTCCTGAACAGTAAATCAAATATATGTTCAACTGCCACCAGAGTTGTCAAAATAGGAATGCTTTTAGAGATACATCTCTTTATTTTCCTGCAAAGTAAAAGAGAGCGCCGAATGAAGAAAAATGTTCCCTGAAGTGAGTCCGAAAATACATAACAGATTGAGATAGATGCACATGTGAATTAATTCTGACTACCTTGAAAGGTTAGTCAAGAACATGTTCGAAGATCCAAAGGAATTTCTTGCCTTATTCCAAGAAGAGGATATTTTTTTCGATTTTGCTTAGACATGAAGAAACAAACTAGGTGTTAAAAATGTCATTTTTCTGAAATATTGAAGCTGTTTTTCATTTTGAGATATCCTTATCCGACAAAATAATGCACCAAAACAGAAACAATTTGATGACGTTTGGTGAAAATATTACAACATTTTTGCTGTATAGTTATTAGAAATAAGATTAGATTTAAATAATAACTCCACGTCCCAGAAATTCAGAGAGAAATTAAACTTTTATTAAGTCATTTCTCTTTTGTTTGCTTGCACTTATTTCAGATGTTATTCAGTCTCTTCTCCATTTTTTGGTATTGTCTACTGTCTCTAATTAAATCGACAATTTCACCTATTATCCAATTCGATGTTTTTGTCTTTCTTTCCTCGAGCTGACCTTACTTTTCTCACTTGTGTTTCTCATAAATTGTTCCACTTAGACTCCCCCGACGTATTCAAAGTTCCGTATTTGTTCTTAATTGCAACTGCATATGTTTATTTGCAAATTGAATCATTGTGAATGTATTGCAGTTTACGCATTGTTTTAGACATCTTTATTTTTTCGCAATTCTAGCCTTAGTATCATTGGGAATTAACCATTTCTCCAATCAGCCTTTTAGTAATTGTAGAGTACAAACTTGCATTTCCAAATAGTCTATTGATGTTGATGCTGAAGTAATCTATCTAGTATTTAATGGTTCTCTCTGGGCTTTTCCAAGTTCGCAAACGTCTTGGATATTCTTCAAAATAAGTGTTAGTTATTAGTAGGCCATTCCCCGTGTACCAACGAGCCCATTATTCACTACGCTCGTTACGTGATGCAAGTCCGTAATTACCAATAATTTCACTAGCTTGTTAACTTACGACATTTAAATTTAGATTTCCCATGATAAACGTCAATTTCTTGGGACTTAATATTTAGCATTTTCTTTGTTTGTAAAACTTATCTATTTCTTCCTCCATACTTTTTGACATTACTCTGCAAGTTGCAGTGCTCCAAACGACACTTTCTCTTGTCTTTATGAAATATTAATCTGACTTCCTTTCCATTTTCTGTCTTACATATATGGTTATTTTCTAAGCACAGCTTAGATGTGTCACACGATCTAAAGTATGGGGAACACACAAAGATTTTCTAAGCGTAGCTTATATGTACCGAAATTATGGAGCACCTAGTGATGATCAAACTCATTGCTAAGTAGTAATTGATCTAACGAAATAAGCCTGGTAGCCATTACACCATGTCGAAGTGCCTTTCCTCCTATGTATATAAGTTTATAAAATTCTCATTTTGTTTCTATCTTGCTTCATAGACTCTGAGAATATTAATATTGAGCTTTTCAATTTCCTGTTTTACAATTTGTAGAGTTGCAAATTGGTATGATTAACATGTCCCGATTGGGGTCGTATTTTTGCTAGAGTCAATCGCTAGATGAAGGTCAGGTGACACATGTCCTTACCTTACTAGGCTGGCCAGTGCCACAGGAGTGAAAAACTTCTGGTCGTTATTTGGGAATTATGATTGTTCTTAGTGGGTGTAATAGGACGTTTCCTCTTTGCTTTCTACACGGTAGTCTTTCGAAACCCCGCATTTTGTTAGCTAGTTATTGGTTGATCCGCACTCAGTTAAGACGTACCTTTCTCTATATTGCTTTGCTGACCACCTTTCTTTATTTGGCTGTCATGAATTCGACAGAATATGCGATGAATATATTTTGGCCTGATTTTGCCAACGGAGACTTGAACCATTTGTGCGCTTTCCTACGATTCTTGAAATCCCTCATCCATCGGTTGCTGGAGATGCATGAATTAGCCCGCACCCAGCACTAGCGAGGTGCGGTGAGATGTACTTGAGAAACTTCACCCTGGATCAGAAATTTACGTATCTTGTTCCA